AACTTTATATATTTAAATTAAAAAGAATAATTTGATAATTTTAAAAGATTGTAAGTGTTTTAAAATCAAAGATGAATAACTAATAAGTAATTTAACAATTTCGCACATCTAATTTAAGAATGTATTGGACTTTCTAACTCATTGTCTCAGCTCTAAATAAAAAACAAGAGAAAATAAAAAAATTTAAATTATTAACTTGAAATCAAGAACCAAGTCATTTACTTTGAAAAAGCTAGCACATACATGCATCAAACCATTTACTTTGAAAACACTGTTTGAGTAAATGTCAAACTCTCATAGGCATATATGCATATATTTAAAGCTTCAAAAACCATTTAAAGAGGGATCTACATACATACACTAGAGAGAGAAGATAGAGAAGTATATTTAACGTCAGAGCTGATATATGCCGTAGGGCTCCTGTACACGGCAATCTCTGATTGCTTTGGGTCTGTCACTCTTTCTTCTTCTTTCTCGCGGTACGACCTCCCTATATTTATCACGGGAGACGGAGTTAATAAAGGTCTAGGAGAGACACGTGTCCTTCCTGAATTGGTCAACAACTTATAATATATGTGTTAATTTTTAAAAAAAATTTCATATATATGACAAAATTTATATAGTACCCCTTAAATTTGTAATTCCTAAAATTATATTCTTATTATTATTTTTTTTTTCTCATTCTTCTTCTTCAATTAAAACTTTTTAACTATTTTCTAAAGTTTTTTCATTTTTATTTTCCTTTTATATTTTAATAATTTTCTTCTTCTTTGTCTTTTTAAATTTTATATATATATATATACTCCGTATTATTATTATTATTTTTTGGCAGTGCCCCCCTCACTTGAAATCCTGGCTCCATCACTATTTATCATTCAATTTTTTTTTTTTTTTTTTTTTTTAAGGATATACCATGATTCATAATATCGATATCAGTTGCGATCCATATATAACAAATTCAAACAAAATTAATATAAATAGACTACATTGAACATGAAAATAAATTATATATAGTTTGATACGTCTCTCGTATAGACCAAAAAGGCAAACCATGGAATGTATACTTCTTTTACACACATTAGAGCCCGAGATATAATTATTAGACAGCTGGAGACAACAAGAGACTGAGTATTTATTACTACTATAATATGAACAATTAATGCCACAAATAACTATATTCTTTTCTTCTTTTTTTTTTTTTTTTGTCCAAAACCAATAAATAGTGCTTAACAAGGGGTTATTAGAGTCTGGATCATCTCTTTTAAGGAGGCGGAGTCACGAATTTTCATTTGGGGTCCAAAATAGTAAAAATAAAATAAAATAGTTGCAACAAATTTTCTCACAATGCAATTTTAATTTATGTTTTCAATAGCATGTCTATATATATATATATATATTTTTCTACATGTTTATAAATGATATCAAAAGAGAGAAAAAAAAAAAAGTAGAGGAAAAAAAATATATATTTCAGACCGACAATAGTTGAGTTTATCTAAGTATCAAACGATCTTTTTCTTTCCTCTTCAATTCATAACAAATACGGAGTAATATATATAAGTGTGTGTATGGAACTATGAAGAGAGTACTTTTATGTTTGTAGCAATAATTACAATAATAATTAATACTTTTTTTACTAGATTTGAATTTTTAAAAGAAAGAATAAAATAGTCCATTGAATTTTGAAGGGGGCCACAAGTAATTTCCTTTGCACTGCAATTTTACCATACAAATTCATAATTAACCATTATAAATAGCTACAAGTAATCGAGTTTTGGGAAAGAAAAAAAAAAAAAATTGTGTCTCTAGGATATCAGAAAGTAACACATTCGCTGAACTACAATGAAATTTGCATTTCTTATGATATTTAACTCAATCGGAATTTATATATTTTTATTCCGAGAGACATTAATATAGTACATATTGAAGTATGTTAAAAGGTAAGACCTAAATAATATAAAAATAATTAAATAAAATGGGTAATTAAACATTTTGAAATAACAGTACAGATATTATTACCTAGTGAGAGAAAATTTGAGGGGGGAGAGAGAGAGAGAAGGGGGGCATGACTACATAAGGCAGGTGTTATCTCAGAGGGCTCAGTACTTTTTAGGCGTGACCATCGGATATTTTCAACGGCAATGGAATGGTATTAGTCATACATGAGAGAGAGAGAGAGAGAGAGGGACTGTTTGGATGTAGAGAAACGGAAACGACAAGACGACAGAGAACTGATACCACGCCGTCGTTTGACGATCAGTCCGTCTTCTACTCGCTAGCTTTCTTTTCTGTGCAGCAAACCTGACCTCACCTTGGACACGGTAACGCCGTTAGATACTCTGTCCAACTCCTCCCTTGTGTACCTTTTTGCAATATACTACTCTAAGTTTAGAAGAAATGGCAAATCTACCATAGAAGTTTGTTCAAATTACATCGGGTTTAAACCCCTACAAAAATAATTGATCAATTTTGGTTCAAATTTGTTCGACATGTCAAACCCGAGTAATTTGGTTGTTAATTAAATAAGAAGAGTGAAATAGCAAAAACAACTTTTATTTCAATTACTACTATTTCAACCTTACATGTAACACGAATTTATTATCGAAATTTTGTTTTGGACAAAGATCCTCTCCAACCGAGTTAGAGAGCATCTTGTGGTTGAGATTAATTTATAGATGGAATTCATCAAAGGCATGTGGTGAAGATTGAATCATTAGATAAGATTCACTAAAAATCGTCAACTCAAATCAAGTGATGATATAATCTCTATCTTTGATGGAATGCAGAACCTCTCTAACGCTGAAGTGGATGGATTAAAATCCGTTTGTTTTACACTTTTTTCTTCATATGGGAGGACTTGTTAAACACGACAGGTTAGAGTTTATGAAAATCTCATCTCATTGTCAACCTAATGCTTAAGAATATTTTAATTCTTTTTAATTTTCAGGTCAATTAATTTACATTAACAAATTTTATTTTTCTTTTAATTTGTTTCAATATCATTTTTGTAGGCATGAGTTTTGATTGGAGACTAGATCACCACCAAGTGATTTAGAGTCCAAGATCAAATAGTATTTTCAAATTTTCAAAGTGAAAAATAAACCAACTATCCAATAGGAATAAATGTGACAATATTAAAAGGATAGATTTTTTATGAATTTCACATTGATATGTTCGGTTGCGATTTGATGCGTTGCAAGCCAACACAATATTATTGACTATTGACTTAATCATTAGTCTGTCTAAAATAATACGTAGTCAAACATGAATTTGAAAACGGTTAAAGAAGAAAGGTAACCAAAAATACTGACGGTGATTGTGAGGAATCACATGTTTTCCGTTTATGGAAACGAGGGAATTGTGGTCAAAACTCCCATATGATCTTTGTATTCACAACATATTTCGTGAATCCTAAAGCATGAAAGGTAAAAGAAATTACTCTAATTATTAACCAAAATTATTCCTTGGTTATGATCAATCATTACTTAACGCATAATTTAAAAAAATTAAATAAAACTTATACATATACTTAGATGTTAATTAAATAATAATTGAACCGAGATCATATAATAATTTCTCTCAAAATATTGGCAGTAAGGAACTGTCTAAACTCTGTCTACCTAATCAAATCCATATTTACACAAACGCGGACAATGTATAGAAGCTTGTAATGGAGGGAATATGGAGAGAAAGAAAAACCAAAACCATACAATGTCCTTGAAAAAACACGCTCTTAATTCCCCCAGTTTCATCAAATTAATTGATTTTCTATGCGGTATATATCACATTAATAATATAAATAAAATTTTATAGAACTATAGAGAGAGTTTAATGAGAAGACCCTCTCATCTTATATTCTGGAAGTTCACTCTTTGAGAGATAATTCCGAATTTTTTTCAATTATTGCCTAGTGCATGTAAGATTCGGGTACTACAAAGGGTATAATAGTTTATTATGAAAAATGATATTCAAGCATACATATTAGCCTTTGTTGTTATAGCGAGACACTTGAAGTGAAACCCAACCGGCCCAACTGCTTCGTTGATTATTTAGTGTGCTCTAAGAGACTTAATTAGCACCACCTTGTCCAAAAAAAAATTACTTAATATTATAAAGTTATAGAGAAAGATTTGCTTTAGTCTAATAAAAATATTTATGAACTATATATTTCTATTGATAAAATCATGATTAGCAGGAAAATATTGTTATACCTATTGGAATTCAATTCACTCTCTCCTGCCATGTAATTATAATTTAAATTTATTAATATGTTATTGATTTATACCATATTGTTCCAATATGGATTCCAAATCTGGATTGACATATGCACATAAGCAACCTCTGCCAAAAAAACAAATGGCATGCATGCTACTGCATTGGCAGCAACATACTAATCCCCTGCCATTTTGTACATATATACCATCCAATGCATGTCTATCACTTTTCTCACACTATATATATATATATATATATAACTGTTTACATTCTCAAGGCTGCCGGTCTTTAACACATGTATCAATCCGGTTCACACAATTTTTTTTTTTTAAATAAAAAGTAAAAACTAAATGTGAATAATCTTCATACATTTATCAATACCAAGTGTAATCAAATTAATTACAGAACTAATAAGGCAAGATGTTAAAAATTTTAATCAATAAAAACATACTAACCCAATAAATTATTAAAAACACTACTGGGTAGTTATAGAAACAGTTAATAGTAAATTAAGATAACTAACTTCAATCAGTTCTATTTGATCACACATATGATGTCTGACATTCCAGATATATAAATCTGTAATTAATACTCCCTAGACAAAGCCTGAAAAGAATAGGCATGTTCCGGTCACCTTGCCTATGTTCTTCCTTACAACTGTACAAACCATCTTATGTATTCCTATTATATATTAATATTATTTCTATAATATAGATAAAACCATGACTACAATGTCAGATCAGATAATATTCCGGTGGAGTGTGTCAGATATTCCGGCGAATGAGCATTCAGAGCCAGAGAGCACCAGCATCCTTTAGAAGAGGAACCAAAGTGCCATTAATGTGGCACGCCATGACAGTTTCAATACCACCCAAAAACTTCCCGCCTACGAACACCGCCGGGACCGGCTGCTGACAGTCGCCGGCGAGCTGGTACAGAATAGCATGGATTTCATGGCCAGCCATGTCTTTGTCAACCTCAAAGACAGTGGGCCCAACTCCGAGGCCGAAGAGAAGCTGCTTGACCACATGGCACATGCAGCAGCCACTCATTGTGAAGACCACCACAGCGTTGCCGGAGGCCAGATGGCGGATCCTCTCGTACGCCGCCTCCATCTTCACCACCGCATCGCCACCACCCATCCGAATACTCGATTCCTTCGCCACCTGCATCTTTTCCTCTACTCTTAACTGTGGCAAAATTTTATACAAAGGTTCAGAGTGATATGATATGATATATATATATATATATATATATATATGTATGTATGCTTTAATGGATTTTGGAGTGATCACTAGTTTGTAGAAATATGAGGGTACTTGAGCTAGCTTAGCTCTGATCAATCAAACAAACTTTGAAAGCTAGAAATGAAACAAAACAAAGACAAGAATAAAGTGCTCAATGCTAGCTAAAACTCTACTTGGCTTTGTTTGCATGTATTTAAAACTATCAGAAAGAGAATCAAGTCTAGAGAGAGAGTGTGAAAAGTAGAGAGAGAAACCTGTATGCCTATAGTGTTCCTGTACCCGGCAAACTCTGACTGCTTGAGCTCTTCTTTCTCACAGTATATGCCGCTTCGATCGGCTTGTTTGTTTTTTTTATATAGAGAGAGAGAAAGAGAGAACACAAGTTGGAGAGAGAGAGCCTATCAATCTATGGTTCCATAACGAGTTCGAGATATATATATATATATAAAACACGCGCCCCTTCACGCGCAATAAGCAGTCAAGGAGGAACACAAATAACTGCCGGGTTTGTTGTGGGACCCACAACTTTCAAATATCGGGACAGATATCCCAACAGAAAAAATTCGCGTGGACTCACTCGGTCACTCGGATTACCTGAGTTAGAGAGAGAGAGTGAAGTTTTAGACAGAGAAAGACCGGCATCATACACAAGTATTAGCTGATCAATGGGCACAGTAGCTCAGTACTTTTAAGGCGTGAGCATGGTACGGATATTTTTCAACGGCAAGGGCATTTGAACGGTATATCTGAGTGGTGTAGAGAGAGAAGGAATAGACAAGGCGACAGGTAGCTGAGACCACGCCGTCATTTGACGGACAGTCAATCGATTGCTTTCTTTTTCTGTGCAGCGGCAGCGAATACACCTGACTTGGGGACAGTAACGCCGTCGGATACTCTGTATGTATAATTATATATACACGACTGTAATAATACATGGCATTTTCCGTAAAATTACCACATATGAACCCATCACTTCTGTACTATTTTGCTCATTTGATATATATTTCAGCTTTCTCAAGGATTTGCTTGATTTGCTCAACCAATAGAAAGTAATTTTCATTATTCGTGTTCTGTGGTTTTGAGCCTCAAATCAATGTTTAAAAGACCAGTTTAAAAAATCAGTCTTCCAAATTGAATTATTTGTTTTCAGTATAATTTTCATAAAGTTGTTGACATATATATTTAATTTTTCATAAGTTTGTAAAGAAAGTATATAGTATAACCTAATTTTAGGATTTTTTTTTTTCTTCATATTGTAAAACTAGAAAACTACATATGCGCGTTAATGGTGCAATATAGGATGGTTCAAGAGGCTGGACAATGATAAGTGTTTCAAATCCCCTTCATTACTTTTGTACCCCTAATTTCTAAATTAGTATTCATGCTATCATATATATCCATATCATAGAAATTGCAGGTCATTGATACAATGTAATGTTTATTAATTTTTGTAGGATCTGGAACATTCTATGGGACAAAGTGGTCAAATTAAAATTTGTCCAACCCCAAAACAGCTAGAAACTTATGTGCGTTATTAGGAGGTTTAATTGGATGTTAAACATGATTATTGTGGAGATAATTTTGACACTAAAATTTTGAAAGTCTACAAATGTAATTTCATCAATGGACACGTCATAAAACCTCATGCTACAAGCTTCTATAAAAGTAGATAAATCACCTTCCGAAAAAAAAAAAAGTAGATAAATCAAATTTGTTTCCAAATAAGGTGATATGGGATCATGGTTTGTTCAACCAACCGGTTCTTCAGTCAACTAGCCGACTCTTTAGCATCCGAAAGGTTGATTATTAAATAAATAAATATTCCATTTCATATATAACATTGACAAGGGAAAGTAAAAATAATACATATATATATATATATATATATATATATATATATATATATAAGACAACTAAAAATGTTATTCTTATAGAATTAGATAAAAATAGATTACAGTAATAAATAAAGAAAAGATTGAAACCTAAGACAATTCATAGAAATAGAATATGTATATATATTTATTGTAGCATCAAACAACAAAGCTCTCTATAAATTATGTTATATATTTTTTATTTTTACTTTCTTTTCCATTGTTATATATATGGTATGAATATTTTTTTATTTAATAATCAACTTTATTATTGTTCTTTAATTTATTAAAAATATAATTAGGATCGCAATTGAAAAATTAAAAATAAATTACTATTGGTTTTAAATGGTTTTAAAAAATTAAGTAAAAATTATTAAAATTCTATAATAAATTATCTTTATCGGATTATGTTTAAGGAAAAATTTGGCATTTTGGATCCTATGTGTCAAATTGAAAAAAATTGACACAAATACAAGGTTATTCTACACATTCAATACACAGATAGGCTAAGAGACTACTACAGTTATTTTATGTTTTGAAAATAAAGAACAAGAAGCATGTTACTCCATTATCTTTGAAAACCCTCAACTACTTTTGGAGATCAAACTTCGATCAAAAATCAAATAAAACTTTCTTCAATCTCAAATATTTGATGAATGGGTGAGTTTTCTTCAATCTCAAATATTTGAAGAAAGGGTTTATGTTGTACAGGACATCGAGGTGATTGAATAGTACATAAATCAACTGCACAAAGTGTATAGGGGTGACAAAAGTTGACACGACTTGCCAATACGACTCGAACATAACACGAGTTAAACGAGTTCAGGTTGACCTTAAACAGGTTCAGGTCATAAATGGGTCGACACGATTAACCCGTTTAGTTAATCGTATCGTATTTGTGCTGAGGGATTCAACTTGTGTAACTCGTTTATACATTTTTAACAATATATGTCGTAAATAAATTTATATTCAAGTTTTAAATTTAGTATATAAACTTGTGTTTTATAATTTAATCTTTTGTAAGGTAGAAACTATGTAGTAATTTGGTTGATTAAAACTTATATTTCTTTTAGCATTTATTATTTTATTGAGTATTATTAATAATTTAAATAATGTAATATAATTTTTTTTTTTGTAAATAGGTTATTAAACGGGTTACACGTGTAACTCGTTTAATAAATAGGTCGGGTTAATGTTGAGAGTTCTTGACACAATTATCAAACGGGTCGTGTTCGGGTTGAGCTGTTTTGTCTAATACTCTTAAGTTGACACGACACGATTACGACCCGCGAACACGAATTGTCACCCCTAAAAGTGTACAATAATTAATAAAATTTATTATTTTCTTTGCATTTTGATATGCAGAATTTCGAACACAAATTTATGGCCATAAAAATCAAAATTAAATGACATTACAAATTAAGAGGTTAATCACGCCTAATTCTGGAGTTAAGGCTACCTACACACACTCACATATACTCATTCACAAAGTCGCCGCATTATCTTATCATCTATCCTTAATTATTTGAGTTTCTTCCAATATCTCGTTCATGATCGATGTTATATTAAATATAGTGATGATGAAAATATATATCATATAAGAAAATAGCAATTTTGAAGAAGGAAAAATCAAATTTTAAAATGAGAACAAAGTTAAATAAAACACCTCTAATTCAAGTTCAATCCGTAGCTTGACCAGTCAAAATCTTTTGCAATGTGATTGTACTAGTGACTGAAATAAAACTCAAATCCACATTCAACTAATTGATGTATAAATAGTCCCATGTCATATGTGAAGTGAGGGTAGTTATGCTCATACTAATTTCATGTTTAACAACGAACGCACCATCCAATGGTAGAGTTTGGGTTGACCCTTTTACTCACTCGATCCATCCCCTACATTGGCTTGGATCATGACAAAAGTGTTCTTTATATACCGTTTATGGTCATCAATTTAGATTACTATTACTAATGACTAAACTAATTTGGGAGGGTAAATGGTATAGGTATAAGTTATAGACCAGCATTGAATTATCAAACTTTCTTTTTCCTAAATACATTGAATTATGAAATTCTAATAATATCATTAAAATAGTACACCAAAGAGAAGAGAAAATTAAATTGACGATTCTCAACCAAATATAGTTAAAATAGAACTAATTTTTCAATATCAAGCCCCACAAATAATATTTCAATCTAATAGCTTATTCCTCTCATTTCACAATCTCATAAAGCAAATAAAACCATGGGAAATTGGAAAAAAAAATAAAAACATTAGGGGTGGGAAGTTGGTAACAAATTTTGGCCACTAGACTGGGACTTCTTATTTTTAATTTTTTTATTTAATTTCTTGGGTCGTTACCATTTGAAAGGAATGGTGCGCTCACTTTCCCAATTGAACTCATCAGCAGATTACGAGCTGGCCCATTTTACTTTGCTGCTGTAACCGCATTTGACTTCCTTTGCAAATTGATAACCATGAAAGAAAGCAATGGCTTCACAAATTTATATATAGGGTTAATTACAATGACACTCCCTGAAGTTTGTCATATTGACAATCATATATAAGTTAGGCATTTTTTGAACAATGACACCCCCTATCAGAAATTGAATCCAAATAGCCCCTTAAAAGATGTGAAACGTCAATATTACCCTTCAATATTTTATTAATTTAAATGGTTAAATATTAGAAATCCTAAATGACGTTTTTACCATGACACTCTCCCTCTTTTACCTCTCACCTTTTCCATTAGAAACCTAATCTAACTCTCTCTCTCTCTCTCTCTTTCTCTATTTTCTCTCTCTAACTGTAATTGATAGTATATAAAATATATATATTGATGAGCACTGAAAAGTGCGCATTTAAACCCGTTAAACTTAAGCATTCTAGTACCTTTATCCATCTTACTTTGCCGTTTTAGACTTATTACATGTTATTTATATTTTCAGGCACTAATCCCAAAATTGAGCTAACTCAGCCAAATAAGAGCTTAATTGAAGCAATCCTGAGATAAACCAAAGGAGGGAGCAAAGTGGAGAAAGCAAGGAGCAAAA